AATTACGATTCTCACAATCGCTCGACATAAAGCTGCAAATATCGCCGATCCAGGGCCAACCGAACTATTAGTTTCTACTGCGAAATTCCTCCAAAATTACAGTCTCTTAATTTATCAGCGTGGAACCACTGATTTCACAGAGTTACAATCAAAGTTCAAGCAAATCCCCATCGCCTTTGACCAGGGCCGTCTTCTTCCACGTTCTACCAGACAGTATCGATGCAGTACGCACTACCCTTCTTTGGATGGTCTCAGACTGATCCTAGAGTCTTTGCTAGAATCACCCATAATTCAGTTATTTGCAAAAAAAGAAAAAATGCTTTTAGACCGTACCTTGGACTCCTTGCTATGAGCAGAAGCTCTCCCCTCCCCGTGCTCGTTGTGTTTCTTCTCTTTCCTGTCATTTTCATTGCTTTTCTGCAATTTACTTTCCATTAGCTTACCTTGAATGCACAGTTTCTAAGTGGAGAAAAAACCAACGTAAAATTTCTGCGGAAAAAGCTTAAATTATAGTAATTCTAAAAAAGAAAAATAACGCTTGTTATGAAAAAAATCATCGCAAAAAAAGATAAAACATTGATCCCTCCAGTTGGGGCAGTGATTTGAAAGTACCAAAGTATTAATAAGAAAGGTATTTTGAAATAGGATGGAGAATGGAAGAGAAAATAATACCAAAAAATTAGTGAAAATACTGAAATTATTTTAATAAAATTATTACAAAATTATCATAAAATTATTGATAAAACTATTATTATGGTAAGAAATGTTTCGATCCAGTAAGTCGTATACACTTCTTACCATTACCACAATTGGACCTCGTCAGTACGACGATTTTGACAACTGTAATTGGTAGAGGCTAAATTTAAAATTACATTAGTTGTGTTAAGCATGTTAGTAACAGTAGAAAGTGTATATTTACAAAAGTAGGAAGTGTTGTAGCAGATGATTAATATTAAAACCATCACAATAAGAACGTTATAAGGTGTAAGAACAATGCCCTACTAAAACGAGCAAAATATTTGTGGTTCTAAAAAAGCAGACTTTTTCAAAACTTTTTCAAAACTTACATTTGATCCTGCTGTAGCTGACGACGCAGCCAGATGGGCTTTCTTCGATGCTCTCACTTTAACTGAACTACGTCGTTCAGTAGCCTTCGCATAGCGTGAGAGATATTTCAGGAGATATTCCGCTCTCGCCTGAACATGTTTTCCTTGAGGTTTCTTACTTTTGTCTTTCAACCATATCTGAAACAAGCAAATCTGATAATTATGGCTCTAATCAAGTAATTTTGAACCGATAACTTCAGTCAACACAGTCACGGTAATTCTGACGTTCGCTCGGAATTACGTGTTTTTTGCATCTATGCAATGCAAAAATGTATATTGTCGAAAGGCTGTGTGTGTGTTTGTGTATGTGTATGTGTGTGTGTGTGCGTCTGTGTCTGTGTATTCGTCTGTGCCGATTTTTCATCTTGAGACCTACAAAAGCCACGTGACTGAAACTTTGGGAATTTAATCTACATGCATGTACAAGCCCCCCATCGCCAAAATGGGCGCTTTTACCCACATGATTCCTACGTAAGGGCCTGCCAAAGGTTTTGCCGAGCAAGCTACAAACTTAGAGACCAGAAAAGTTAGAAAGCTGAAATTTTAAAGAGATGTTCCTCGTTCACGCAGAACTTGATAAGTTCAAACCCAGTCTCCAGGTACGCGTGGTTCCTACGTACGGGTTTGTGGAAGTCTTTTGAATCAGGGAAGCTAGAAAGCTGAAATTTTAACT